ATAACGGAAAAGATTGATTACGCTAATTATTGTGTAACATTACACATATGGTAAGTAAAATAATTCTAGAATGTACTTCGGGTATATACATATATTTGTTCACGTTAAGAATTGCAAAATAGTAGAAGAAAAAGAATATTCTCAAAAATCCTGTTACGATTAGTATCGAGTCTTTCACTGGAAATACCTGCTTGAAGTGTTTTAAATGTTCGATCTTTCACGATAAATACCGTCGCTGAATTTCTATATTTTCACTTTGTTGAAGCAGAAATATGCGGTGATTTCATGCCGATATTTCACATACGTGATATTTCATACGATATATGAATATAACATTGTTAATAATTCGGCGTTAGGCGAGGGTCGAATAAATTCGAGAATTTCCAGTTTATCGTATCGCGTGATTTCGCATGGTGTTTTCCCTGATTTACTTGAGCGCGCGATATTGATCTAACTTCTGTGTACAGGATGCTCTAAAAGTGTCTCCACCCGAGGATGGAATACCGTTTCGTATCGAGTTTTGATACGATGATCGATGTTTAACCGCGTGTACTATACCTTTAATTCCTATAATTACGCTCAATCGTGTGTCGTGATATACCGACGGAATTTTGCTGTAAATTTCAAATTCGCTGTAAATACGCTCGGTATCGGTGTTGATTAATTTTGCATAAGTCGTGTAGAAACGATGTCGATTGGTTTCGATTCTGTGTACAGCGTTTGTTTTGCATATTTAGCTTCAGATGCAAATTACACCGATGATTAGATAGATAGCTGATCGGTAACTGAACGACGACTTTTTTCGTTCCCTACATATTATAATTTGTTTTTTTTTTTCAGTTTCTGCTTATTGTCAAATTTCAGAGAAATAATTTTCCTACGTTTGTTAAGTTCGATTTGCGCTACAAATCGGTTTTTGAAAAATTTGCACAATTTACGGTAAAAAGAAAGAAACTTTAGAGTGGTCGGTACTTTCCGACTGCAGATTACGCATTCTAAATGGAAAAGCATAAAACGAAATTAAACGAATGGTTATGGCACTTCCGATGGTTTCTGTTTCAAGTTTGAATGTCGATTAATTTTCTAATTCAATTGATCAAATGTCGTTTTCGCTATTTTATACGACGCAATTCTGTGCAGTTTTATATACAGGGTGGCGTGCAAATCGGTCACCGCGATATTTCAGCTGGTTCTGATAATTTAACGAAAGAACGTTTCGAAGTTCATCAGTACCAAACGAAGAATTTATTGGCGTAAGCGAAATTTTGAAAGTATCTTTCTCACGTAAAAACTTGGAGTTATTTGGTGTTTTTTGAATAATTTGCAGTTCTTGCAGTCTGCAGTCTGTTAAATATAGAAAGGCTGGCTTTGCTTCTATTGTAACGAAGCATAATTGAATCGAAAAAATCGTAGTGGAAAATTTTGCACAGTTTAACAAGCTAGCATCCTATAACACGACTTTTTCTCGCAAGTGCATTCGTGCTCTTGCAAAATCCAATTACAGTCTTTCCTTTTTCACGTAGATCGGCTCTTTGAAATTTTCCGCGTATAAAAGGTATTAGGTTACGAGGTTAGAAAAATCAATCTGACTCCGTGAGATATTTCAAATTTTGGATAACACGTATCCTTACATATTTTACGTTTCCTTGAAGCTGTAACGCCGGAGCTTTCGAACACTTTGAATAATTTGCATTTATTTATGCAAATGCTTCGGGAAGAAAGCTGTGCAGAAAAATAATACTTTTAGAGGTTACAAGAATTGGAGGAAGACATTGCAATATTAGAAGTGGACGTGTTAAGGTCAAACGAAGATCACTTCAATTTTCTTAAGTTTCTGCTATATTTCGTTGGATTATTAGTAATAATAATGCGTCAGCTAGTAAGCAAAAATGAATTGTGTTATGTATGAGAAACACTGCTATGTCAAAATAGTATAGTAGACTGATGCAATCCTGGTCTCTTTTTCTTAAATGCGCAACAGACTTTCTGTCGTGCCCTTACGGGGTTTTTCCTTCACTTCGACTGCGATTTTCGAAGCGTTGAGACGTCCTTCAGCGCCGAAGAAAATAAAATACGTTTAAGAGTATTCGCAGTGAACACCATTTATGTTAACCCGTTAATCCAATATATTTTTTCTCAGGACGATAGGGAGTTAACGAGTGAAATTTCATTGTACCAGTTTACGTATGACTTATCGAAGAATTTCGAAGCTTTCCTGAATTTCAGCATGAGAATCACTGTAAGCGACATCGCCTCGTGATTGATAATACTACCCGTTCTTTCCTTATTTTGTAAAAACAAAAATATATCACGTACCACTTAAGAGAATGTAAGTGATCTTCACCTGACCTTAGCGCCACCACTTAACAAACTCCTATTTGCATATTATTTACAATGTCTCTCACCTTCTAGAAGTAGATTTTTCTCTCTAGTGTACTTACCCAAAAAGATTTGCATTAATAGATTAAAACGAGTCACTATCTATAATCTTGAGCGTTTGATATAAATTACGGATTCGTGAAAATTGTGGAGGAATAGTAAAGAAAGAAAAAGATCTTTATTATCGCTTCAACTGAGTTTTGTAATGTTAAATAAACACATTGTTGATAATTATTATACGTTGAATATTCTCTTTCTCTTTGTCGCAGACGAAATATGTTAACACTAACAGAAACACGTGTGTTGGGTTATTTTTCTGAGTTTTGTAAAAAAGACACATTTTTGGAAATTAGTGTAATACCTACCGGTTCTTGGTAAAAGGTTAAACGTATAATTGTAGTTATTTTAAACATAAAGTTACAATTTTCAGTATTAACTTGTCTGAAAATTAGCGTTAAATGAGGAAAAGATAAGATATCGATAGATATACAGTTTAAAGATAGGTTAAAAATTAAAATCATCTATTATTGCGAGGGTGGATTGACAAGTAAGGTTTCCTGCCGCGTGGAGTCGCTAGTAGTGGGGACAGAAACTAGTTCTAACCTGTGCTCGGTAAGCCTATACTGTCTAATGCATAAGTAGTTGAAACGTGCGTAGTTTCAGTTTGCTGTATGACGGCATTGAATAATAATGTTCGTTAGTCATGAGTTCTACTTCCGAGTTACGTATAAAGGAATGATCAGTGATAGAATTTTTGGAACTAGAGAGTTACGCGCCAACCAGAATTCGCAGATATAAAAGCAATTTATGGCGATGGTTGTATGGATGTGAGAAATGTCCACTAGTTGGAAAATAAGAAACGAAATGTGTAGCACTAAATGGTGACTATGTTGAAAAATCAATTTGTAATTTCGAAGAAAAATAGACTTACTTTATCTCGATACCAGTTTCATTATTTTATCTTGTCTGAAACTTATTTTGAAGGATTAAATACTTTACTTATCGATCAACTCTCGTATATAACGATTAAAAATTGTATTTAAGTATCTATCCTATGCAAACTTTTTTACAAATTCTTTCACATACTTATTTAACAATAGAAAGTACATCTAATGTAAATAATTTAAAAAAAGGTTTCTTTTATAAAATGTAAATGTTCAAAAGATTAGCAAAAATATTGACCAAAGTCAGTGATTAGAGTACACCAACTATTACTAACAAAATTATGTTTGGCAAGCTACATTTATACCGAACAATATAAATTATTAGTTACGAGTGGTAAGTACCATACCGACCAAAAATATATTACTTATGATTCGGCTGTTGCCAAACTGTGTTGGCAGACTTCTAAAACTAAAATTCTGTTAATGTGAAACCACTCGCAAAGGACATAGAGGGGAAAGAAAATGATGAAGTTGCTGTTATGTAATACGTAAAATTTCCATCGATTTCTTTTTCTTTCTCGCGTTAAAATATGAAAGTTGAGTCATACACTTTCAGAAATAAGTTTGTAGAAATAATCGAAGAATATGCAAATACGAAATTCAAGTGCTGATATATTATCCATAGAATTTTATGTAAACAGAGAATACAATATTTTTCCACTATAAAATGTACATTATAAAAAGAAAAAAAAAACAAATTCATACTAAATGTTCACACTGATAAAAGAACAAGTTAAAAAATTATTCCATTCTCCAAGTTTCTTGAAAATAGACTTTCTTCGTAAATCTTAACTCGGAACTTGCGTCGAATTAGAACATAAATACGCCCGAAAACGACGAGATTTCTTGCAGACCTAAAAAACGGGACCAAACTGAAAATCACAAATCTACGATAAAGTCTTTTTTTTTCGAAAAGT